CTGGGCAGCCTGTGTGGTGCTGGGAGCCTGTGTGGTGCTGGAAGCCTGTGTGGTGCTGGGCAGCCTGTGTGGTGCTGGGAGCCTGTGTGCCTGAGCAGCCTGTGTGGTGCTGCACAGCCTGTATGCCTGGGAGCCTGTGTGGTGCTGGGCAGCCTGTGTGGTGCTGGGAGCCTGTGTGGTGCTGGGCAGCCTATGTGCCTGGGCAGCCTGTGTGGTGCTGGGAGCCTGTGTGCCTGGGCAGCCTGTGTGCCTGGGCAGCCTGTGTGCCTGAGCAGCCTGTGTGGTGCTGCACAGCCTGTGTGCCTGAGCAGCCTGTGTGGTGCTGCACAGCCTGTGTGCCTGGGAGCCTGTGTGGTGCTGGGCAGCCTGTGTGCCTGGGAGCCTGTGTGGTGCTGGGCAGCCTGTGTGGTGCTGGGCAGCCTGTGTGGTGCTGGGCAGCCCCTGTGTGCCTGGGAGCCTGTGTGGTGCTGGGCAGCCTGTGTGGTCTGGGAGCCTGTGTGGTGCTGGGCAGCCTGTGTGGTGCTGGGCAGCCTGTGTGGTGCTGGGCAGCCTGTGTGCCTGGGAACCTGTGTGGTGCTGGGGCCGCCCACTCACCCACATGCTCGCTGGGCCTACCCCCTTCACATGCTTGCCCTGCTGAGCACCACTACACGAAGGAGAGATTTGGAAACAGCCAGGGTGAACAAATCTTCATACTGGCAAGAACCCATCTGTGTCTCGTGCTCATCTCAGAAACCCTGTTTGGAGACCAGGCTCATTGGACGCCCTATCTGCCTTTCTCTCCCTGCTAAGTCTTAGGGGAAGCAGCAGCCAAGGGCAGCAGCCAGAGGCTGTCAAAATTATCAGAACAGCATTGTGGACATGTCACTGTACAGAGTATACGTCTCAGAGGGTCCTAGGAGCAGGGGCAGCTTGTCTGGGTACACAGGCTCCACAACCAGCTCCAAGGGTTCAGAATATACAATCTGCCTTAATAGACAAAGGAAGTGTTGTAGAGTCTGGGCTGTTTATGAAGAGGAGGAAATACTGCTCCAGATCTGGACGCCAAGGCCCAAGGCACTGGCAGGCCTTGTGTTCAGTTGCCTGGGCCCTACGTTCTCATGTGGTGAGAGGAGCGGATGGGAAAGGGCCGAAGCTGCTCCGCGTCTGCCCTCGGATGAGTAGAAATCCTGTCCAGGTGGCATGGGGTGCCAGAGGCGCTGACTTACAGAGGGGCAAGCACATGGTGAAACGTGCCGTCTGGTGAGACCCAAGGGTCGCACCAGTGTCTAGTGGTGAGCGAATGACTAAAGTCTGGCTCAGGAGCTCACAAACAGGGGCAGTGTTTAATTTCCCAGAAGTTATTCTTTCATGTCTTGGTGTATGTTCAGTATCTCCTACAAAAATGCTAAATGATGCAAGTACAGGTCATTCTCAATTTAAAACAAAAAGGCAGACTACGAGTCACCACCAGAGGACTTCTGACAAGATTTGCACAGATGTAACTACTTTAAGTTTGAAGTTACATATTTTTAAAATATTTATTTTTTGTCAGTCGTGGGGGCTGAACTCTGGGCCTGGGTCTCAGCTCTTCAGCTCAAGGCTAGCGCTCTACCACTTGAGCTACAGCGTCACTTCCAGCTTTTTTCTGCTTATGTGGTGCTGAGGAATCAAACCCAGGGCCTTATGCATGCGAGGCAAGCGTTCTACCACTGAGCCAATTTCCCAGCCCAAGTTACAGCTTTTTGGAGGTGTAACAGACTGAGAAAGTTCTCTCCTATTTCAAGTTTTCTGAATTAAAAATACCACAAATGGATATTAAATCTTGCCATAAGCTTTTTCTGTATCTACTGAGTTGATCGTGTGATTTTTCTTTTATTCTGCTCAAGCAGTAAACTGTAATGCTTGATTTTGCCCGTTAAACCAGACTTGCGTTCCTGCTGGGTTCCCTTCCCCTCTGTGCTCCTGGACCTGACCCTCTGGTGTTCTGAGTTACGTTTGCATCAGAGGCGTTAGTCTGTAACTCACCCTCCTATTATGTCCTTGTACATTTTGACGTCAGACTTGTGACATCATTAAGCAGTAAGCTGGCTTCCCTTCTAACACCTGGTAAATCTCACTTCTCATTTCCTGGAAGCATTTGCGTAGAAGACATCAGTAATGCCGCATGGTCCAACTCTTCTTTTTAAAAGTTAATTTACTAACTTAACATTAGTGATATCAGCACTAATTGTCCCTTTTTCATGCTCAATAATGGCAAATTTGTGGTTTTTAAAAATTAGTCTTGCTAAAAGTTTATCAATCTTCTTTTTCTTTTTTTTTTTGGGTCCGGTCATGGGCTGGAACTCTGGGCCTGGGCGCTGTCCCTCAGCTCTTCAGCTCAAGGCTAGCGCTCTTCCACTTGAGCCACAGCGCCACTTCCGGCTTTTTTCTTATGTGGTACTGAGGAATCGAACCCAGGGCCTCGCGCATGCAAGGCAAGTGCTCTACCACTGAGCCACCTTCCCAGCCCCTCAATCTTATTTTTCAAATAACTCTTTTTTTTTTTTTTCTTGGTCGTGGGGCTTGAACTCAGTGCCTGAGTGTGGTCCCTGAGCTCTCTTGCTCAAGGCTAGTGCTCTACCACTTTGAACTAGTTTTCTGGTGGTTAATTAAAGGTAAGAGTCTCTCAGACTTTGGTGCCCAGACTGGCTTTGAATTTCTATCCTCAGATCTCAGCCTCCTGAGATTAGCTAGGATTACAGGTGTGAGCCACAGGTGCCCAGCTTCAAATAACCAAGTCTTGATTTTTTTCTTCTCCTGTTTTCCAGTCCCTATTTGATTCTCTCATCTTCCTGCTGAACACCTTCCTAACTGTATAGGTCTCATCAGCACACGTCAAATCTAGGGTAATTCTCAGCAAGATAGTGTTCTAGGACAGCTGCATCAAATTCAGGCTTAACGAAGGGTGGCAGGCACATCTGAGTCTTCCTGTACACAGCACAATTATAACCTTCAAGTTGCGGCCCTGTTGTAGATGTCAAGACACCAGGGAGATGGCTCTTACTCAGGGAGTCCCATCCTGGACAGGAGTGGGGTCAGCATGAGCCAGCTCCTCATAGTCAGGGACACCCCGGGGCCAGCCTACAGCACCGTGGGGCCAGCACCTGACAGCCAGTAGCCTCCTGTCACATACACAACCGTGAGACACCTCCCCTACCCCACACAGAGTTGCCCTCCCCTTCTCCTTCCCCTGGAGTGATGCCCTGGGCACATGCTAGGCCAGAAATGGGGCTGGCACATGGCGGAGAGCAAGGGGGGCTGGCTGGACTCCTTGGGCCACTGGAGATAGGTCCCCACGCCCTGCCAGGATGCCTCTAGTGGAGGATGCAGTTCAGTTGCAGCCTGTGACACCCAGACCAAGGCATGAGTGTCCAGGGCTTGTGAGTAGAGTCTCTGAGGTCCAACCATGGCTCCCATCACCGCCCAGCGAAGGCCTGTGCCCCCATGAGGCCGGCTCACCTCGTGTGGCCATGGCTCCACCTCACACAGCCAGGACAGGGCCGGTCTTTCAGACCCTGCACTTCCTCCAAGGACTGTCATGACCTCTACACCCCAACACCGCCTCCTTGAGGGGACGCTGGCTGCCTACCAGACCAGAGAGCTTCTAGAACCAGGCGTGACCGACTTACTCAAGGACAGAGTGTGTGGCTGCGCACAGGTGGTAGCGGTAGAGGAGCAGGCTGTGGTCCACCCGGAAGACGCCACCCCCCTTCCTGAGGTGCTCGTAGAAGAACAGCAGGTCCTCCGGCACACCCTGCAGGAGCCAAAGGAGAGAGCACTCACCAGCTGCGCAGCCCACCCCAGCTATCAGGCAGGGGACAGAAGGGTGCTCTTGTCACCAAGAAACTAGCTTTGAGCCAGGTGTGGTCCCAAATACTCAAGAGGCCAAGGTGGAGGAATTTGCTTGAACTGACACGTTTGGGGCCAGCCTGGTAACATGGTGAGGATGTATCTCAAAAAAAGAAAAGAGCCGGGTGTGGTGCTCACGCTGTCACCCCAGCTACTCAGGAGGCTGTGAGCTGAGGTCACAGTTCAAAGCCAGCCTGGGCAGGAAAGTCCGTGAGACTCGTATCCCCCCCCCCCCCCCGCCCCGTGCCGCTGGACCAAAAAACAAAGAAAAGACGCAACACGAAAACAATTTTGGAGGATCAACAGTGATGTGGCAATGCAGGGTCAAAAAGAGATGCGCAACTGACTTTCTCCCTGAGACAGGCCAGAGAAGATGTGGGACAGAGGAGAGACAGGTGGGTCTACATCTTAATTCTGCCCTAAAGGACACCCTGTGGGGCACAGAAGATCTTAGGACAAACACTGCACGCTAACCACAGACACATCTCAGGAGGAGGAAGACAGCCTCAGCCACCATGTCCTGAGCACCAGCAGCTCAAGCACTGGGAGAAGAGGAGAGGCCAAGCTGAACGATTGGGAAGCCCTGGCAAGATGCCGAGGACACTTGTGGTGGGAACCCAGAGGCATGGGCCCTGAGACGTCAGGTCGCAGCTCTCCAGGAGTCCTGGGCCCAGGCAGGCGTCCAGGACGGGCTGCGTTTCATCAGGGTGGCAGAAGGGTCGATGTTGAGCCAGGAACTGGAAAACTGTCCAGAATGACAGTGAAACTTAAACAGGGTTAAAACCTACCTCTTCCCCTACAAAAACAACAGCCCCAAGCTATGTCACAGACAGCCCCTCCCCAAATTCTGATCTAAACCACACCTTAACCAACAGCTGAGGGTTTGGGGGTTTGGGGGAGGGAGGGCTCACGAATCAGAAATCCAATACCCATGCATAAAACTGCCCCCCAAGGAAGAGAGCAGGAATAAAAAGGGCTTGAAGAAGGTAGGCTGGTATGTGGCCAGTAAGGTTCATGACAGGTTCTGCGTGGGGCTGGAATATTCCTGGGCCTCATAACTGCTGGTGGCAAGGCTAGCGGCCAGCATGGTTCCTGTGACTTGCCGTGCAGCTCGCTTGTGTGGCCCAGGACTCCCCCTTCCCACAGGCAGGCAAAGACACTCAGGCCCCTGACGGGGGCAGGGCTCCTCTAGAGACAGCCAGAGTGGATCCCCAACCAGAATAGGACTTCTTAGACCAGATACTCTACATTCCCCAGCCAGCTCACCCAGGATGAGATAACCTGGGTTTGAGGCCAGGTGCTTCCCCGGAGCAGGTGTAGATCAGGGGATATACACAGTCCCATGGAGGTGAATCTCTGAGCCGTGGCTTAGGAAACAATATGTGTACATCGCATGAGAGGACAGAGGACACTAAGGGGCCAGGTGAAGGGTCTGAGTCCTTCACGGCACTTACCTTCCCTCCCTCGTCAAATGGTCCCACGTGGAGAAACCAAGTTCGAGAGCAGAACCAGGTGGGCATGATCACTGTGGGGCCGTTTGAGGTGAATACCTAGAAGCAATTAGCATTGACACCATTAACAGAAAAGAACAGCTTCTTGTGCGACCTACTCACAACATGCCATTAAGTAACAAAGGGATTTCATGTCTCTTCTCATGAGAACTCAGCAGTGGTATCCGGCCGGCAAGACAGGTGGAGATCGGCAACCTGCCCCCTTCACCTCCAGACCCTAACACAGAAGCTGGTGTCTGCATTTGGTGACAGTAACGCGGTACATTAGAACCAACAATAAACATTCCACTTTCAGTCACAAGGAGGAAAACCTGAAGTAGCAAAGAAGGTAATGGATAATGTCTAGGTAACGTGGACAAACACAGAGATTCTAGAGAGACAAACCATCAGAACCAACTGAAAACATAGAAAACTGAAAAACAACCTTAATGAGACAGAAAAATCAAGAACATTCCCAACAAAGAAAAAGCCGGGAGGCGTTCCTGGTAAACGCTGGCAAACACTTAGGAATTGATGCAGTTCCTGTGGAGTTTCAGACGCAGAAGAAGGTTACTTCCTACCCCCCTGCAGGGCTGGCTACCCAAACAGGCTAAAAGATCACATCTAAGGAAAGGCACACTAATGTCCCTCATGAAAACAGATGCAAAAATTCTCAACATAACTCGTGTGAATTGTGCAAAGTCATTATGGACAAAGGACCTACACTATGACTGGGTAGAACTTTATCTGAGGACAAATGGATTGATGTGAAAATCAGTCACTGTCATATACAACATTAAGATGAGGACCAAAAACTAGGTAGCCATCTCAAGAGATATCCAACTCTGTTATGGTATAGTGACTCAGAACTGCTTCAACCTACTGAAGGCTGAAATGACAGCTAAGTCATGCTTTAAACTGTGAAATGCTGTTTGGTGTGGTGGCTTAGGCCTGTAATCCCAGCTGATACTCAGGAGGTAGACAATGGGAGGACTGTAGTTAAAGGCCAGGTCAAACAAGAAGTTTGTGAGACCTCTCCTGGCGGCGTGTATCTATAATCTTAGCTACTCAAAAAGTTGAGATCTGAGGATTGCAGTCTGAAGTGAGCCTGGGCAAACAAAGCTGTTTGACTGCTATATCTAATTAAGCAAACACCCAGAAACCAAAGGCATGACAACTGGTAGAGTGCCAGCCATGAGCAAGAACACCAAGCAAGAGCATGAGGCCCTGTGTTCAAGCCCCTGGGCAGAGTGTGAGCCGTTACCCTCACTATGAAGAAGGAGGGCTGTGACCCAGGCCAGCCCAGGTCTAAAGTTGAGTCCTATTCAAAAAAAAAAAGTCTGGGGCTGTGATGCAGTACATGCACAAGGCCCTGAGTTTAACCCGGTACCGCCAAACAAGTAACAGCCCACATGCTGGAGGGCTGTCCACACCAGGTCAGAAATAACACAAACATCTATCCTCACAACTCTAATTAGATATTGCGAATGAAAGTGTAAGCAGAGCTACTGGACAAGATGTAAACACTACCAGCTTAGAAAGGAAGATTTGCAGACAGCATTATCCTTTAAGGAAAAAGTGTAAGGAACATACATGTGCATATGAGCACATGTGTGCACACACACACACACACACGCACATACAAAATCTATGCCAATAATGTAGTCAGCAAACTTGTGGGATAAAGATCCTTATATAAACAAACACAACAGGAGTCTATACAGTAGCGATAAATACTCCAAAGATGATACTAAGAAAACACAATAGCATATAAAACACTTAGGAATAAACTGACGAACTCCATGGAAAATTACATTAATTTCTTAGAGTTCATGTCAGGCCTTGCACCTTTGGGTCCCTCCCCTAAGAGGATCTTCTTTCAGTCTCACCATGTATGAGTGTCTCGAGTCCGGTATCACTTATCGTGTCCTGGTGTATTTTAGATCTAACTTCTGCATATGAGAGAAAACATGTGGCCCTGGCCTCTCTAAGCTTGGCTTACCTCAACATGATTTATTCTAGGTCAAGAATTACATTTTAAAAGTAAAAGCATACATAAATTGAAGGCCATCACATTTTTGTGAAAAACAATTTTTATGATATAAATACTCCCTAATTTATCTACAGATTTTTTTTTGGGGGGTCCGGTCGTGGGGCCTGAACTCTGGGCCTGGGCGCTCTCCCTCAGCTCTTCAGCTCAAGGCTAGCGCTCTACCACTTGAGCCACAGCGCCACTTCGGCTTTTTTTTTCCTTTTTGCTTATGTGGTGCTGAGGAATC